TGTAAACCTCCCAGAGACACTTTTTAACGAGATGGGCGGTGACAAGATAGAATGAATGAATGAATGAATGAATGAATGAATGAATGAATGAATGAATGAATGAATGAATCTCCTACAGGTCACATTATAAGTGGAATCTATTCTACTTCCTTCCCCCTCTTCCACATTGCCTCTCTTATTCAGTTTGTTTTGGAGCTGTTCATGCTGCTGGATCAAGGTATTGATAGAATTGATCTTGTAACCTCATAAAATAAACCAGGAATTTTATAATGATAATGCTTTATTCTTTTTTACTTACCCTGAAAAAGTAGTCTCAAGTATGATGGTCTCAAACTGTTTGGCTCCATAAGTATGGTGTAGATGTCCTATTATCTAGTATTTGTTACTCCTCTACTGGAAATCCTTGGCCTTTATGTAGACATTGTTATTTGGAAAAATGTGAAAAGCATTTCACCTGAGATTTCATTTTGCCAGTTAATTTTAATCATTTTTAAAATGTATGGGGACATATATTTTAAATAAAAGAATGTAATGTCATTGAGTACGTTAATATAGTCTGCTTACTTCAAGAAAACAGAGTTTTTTGCCTCTGTGTGTATGTGGAAAAGGAATACCTTAATTGGCAGCTTAAGCATTCTTTAATGAAAGGCTTTTTTAAATCTTCAACTTTCAGCTCTGTTATTAAGGTATCATTTTGAAGATAGTTAGATAATAGGAAGGCCCTTCTGGGAACTAAAGTGACATCGTTATAGCCCTTATATTGAGGGGCTGTTCCAATACTGAATTTTCTCCCATAGTCCTTTCTATGAGAGGACTGGATTTTCATCGGCCAGCCAATTGGAATTGTCCTAGCCTCATGTTGTTGTTGCAATTTGCTTATTCAAATCAATAGCAGACCCCAGATATAATTTAGTCCCCACTTTTGATTTTCATTTCATTCTCTTCTGAACATTCCAATAAGAATTTGTCCTTTCATTTTCAGTTGTGTGGTGGTATGCGCAGCTGAACTGTTGTTAAACAACTTAAGGCCTGGGGGCATCTGAACTTTTTGGTCTTTTGATTGAGCCAAAGTCTTTTGGCCAATGTAGCCCATAATTTCCATCGTGAAAGAGGATATCCTTCAGCACAATAGTTTAGGCATTGGATTGGACCTGGAGAAACATGGTTCTAGTCCCCCCTTGACCCACTCGCTGAGGATTCTAGACCAGTCACTCACTCTGTTGCCCCAACTTTCCTCATGGATTTATTGTTGTGGGGATAAAATTTAGGAAAGACTTTCATATAGGTTACCTTCAGCTCTGAAAGAAAAAGTGGGTTATGAAAGCAAGTTAGCCAAGCAAAAAAGTAGATGAAACTTGAATATAAATACTCATTTTAAAATACATTCTGCATTGGCCTCAATTTCATTTGAGATGACCCTTACAAGGAGAACTTGTACTTAGAGTATGTTACTTTCAGGCCCTGATCAGAGTCATCCCTGGCCTAAGGAATGATAGAGACAAAATGGCTTGTACAATATTTATAAAGCTGAAAGTCGTCTAGATACCATTCAAATCATACCAGAGAGGTATATTAGTAACTAAGGAATAATTTGTATGAGATATGCTTGTATAGCTATAACTAAGTATTTATTTTCCCCATATGATAATACCAATATCATAACATTTGTTCATTTTTTTCTCCCCGTCTCTTGTTTATGTTTTTTATCACACAACAAACCTTATTCACTATATAAATGATATGTGTTAGTGATTGAATTACAATATAACTTCTGTCTCTGAGGTGATAACTCTGCAATAATAATACAATCTGTACATTCCTTTGATTGCTGAAGACATTACTATGTTTTTAGATTTAACATACAGTCTCATGGTAGAGAAATGCAAGGAGAAAAAAAATCTATATAGGATATGATACTCTTTTTGTTCAGAGAGATACTGCTATTGGGTGAGAGATTTTCCCAGGCCCCTAAGTTGAACATTCATTAGCATTTCCACAATGGGTTGCTAATTATTCATGGTGTTATTGCTTAGTAATTATTCCCCACCCACCCCCCTCCCACACATTAGCTAGAGTATAGCAGAAAGCATTTTTGGATCATTTGCTGATTCTTAGAACTCTTGTCTTTGTCTCTTATCCCCAATAAAAGGTGTTCTGTAGTTTTAATTGACTTGCCTTAGTTTTAGATCATACTTGATAACTGAAATACATTTTCTGAAATGCAGTCTTTTCTGAATGCAGAAGTATGCACAATAAACTAAAATGGCTTCACTTGTTCTTAGGGAAAAACAACTGTCTTTATCTCATGGGAAGTTTGGGGTATGGAGGACTAGTGGTTAAAAATCTTGTAGGTTAAACATGGGAGGATGGAAAGAAAATAAATTATTTCATATTGTTTGATTTAGATTTTCTCTACTGTCTTATGTGCTGAATTTTATTGTAAGAAAAGATCCTAAATAACTTGTATTTTTCTTTCTCTCTAGTCATCTCAACTAGAACTCCACCTCCACCCTCACCATTGCCATTTCCACCACAAGCTATTCTCCCTCCTGCCCCATCTAGCTATTTCTCTCACCCAACTATCCGATATCCTCCTCACCTGAATCCTCAGGATACTTTGAAGAATTATTCTTATGACCCGTCCAGTCCACAAACCAGCCAGGTACTGTAACAGCCAGTAATGTGTGAATGTCTTGGGATAAATAGGAAAGCTGTTTCCTGTAACATATTTCAGATTGGATGCTTGTATTTCTTTTGCCTATATTGACTCTTGTAATATAATACGTTTTTTGAAACTTCAGCATTTTACTCATTGTGACCAAATGAAAGGTAGATGGCTATTTATGGCCATACTCAAGCCACTACAAGCATCGACTGATATTGTAATGATATATACATGAGAATAATCCTTTTTGCATGCATAACTCTTTTCTGGAAATTCTAAAGAATATATGGGTGAAATCAGAATAAGCTAGGATTTATTTTTCTGATCTGGGAATCAGTTTACTTTCCTCAATATTTGCTTTCTGTATCTGATGAAGGCAGCTGGTTGCACATATATACCTTTTTCTACTTTCTTTTCTAAAGTCTGTTAGCTCTTTCTTTGTATTTAGCATATAGCCATTTATGGCAGTTACTGTGTGTGAAATAAGTCTGAAGTGCTTGATTCAGGGAGAAGTAAAGAATGTGCTAATGTAAACACACACAAAAAGAGCATGCAAGCCTATTTATAGGTTTGCTATTTACATAAAGCCTCTTGAATTGCATACTGCTTTTCAGTATTCTGAGTATATTTGGCAAATCTTTGAAGTGGTGGGGAAAGGTAGCAGTGAACTGTATAAAAAAATAGAAGATGAAGTTGTTGGTTTTGACAAGAACAGTTGCACATGGATATATGTTAGTTTAGACCTGTTTTTAGCATGGTAATGGATACAGTTTTTTAAAACAGAAATGATTTATAAAAGACTTGGTTACAACTGCCTTTTTATAATATCGTCCACATGTTGCACATATGAACTGTGTAATATATGAAGTATGAGTCTAATGTATACTTCATTACCGAGTTTGGTTTCTGGTTTTTTTGTGTCTTACATAGGACCTCCTGCCAAAATTCCCTGTATGTGTTTGTAATATTTCTGTTGAAGTTCAAGAAGATTTTGACTGATACTGACAGTACAGCATTTAGTTTCTAAGCTACTTCTCAACTTTGCAATTCCAAAATTGGAGTACAAACATGGCAAAACAATACTGTCTGTAAAGTACAACAGTAGAGTAACTAAAACTTACAAGAGATAATATAAACAACCATTTAAAAATCAATAGTACAAAGTTTCCGTTCTCTTACTAGAATCAGGTATGCAGACTGAGTCAGGCATTGTCTGTTCTTCAGAAAGGAGATCCAGAAAATTGGAGCTACTGAAAAAGCATGAATAGATAGCTATCACACTTCCTTCTATAGTGAACCAGTGTCCCTTTATCTTAAGTTTTGTTATTCATATAAGAAGAAGCAGTCCATCAAACATTTTGAACCAAGATTATTTAGGGCTTTAAAATTTAAGACTAGCATTTTTAAATTTGGCTTGGAAACCATGCAAAACTCATTAGAATTCTCACAAAATTGATGTATGTTCTTTATGCACATATATGGTCAGCAATATTCTGATTTAAACTATCATATAGAGCTCCACATTCAGCATGATTTAGTAGTCCAGTTTAGAAGTTGCCAAAGCATGTAATACTATAGCAAGTTCCTTATCTGATTATGCTGTGGAAATGTTCTCATGTGATTCTAGAGAAATGTATCCAGAACAACTTAATAGTTGTTATTTTTGACTTTCAATAGAAAGGTGATTTTTTTTCTAAGATAGATGATTTACCATTTCCTACACCCTTGACTTCCCAAAATATGTGTATGCGTTACTTATATAGAGTTGGAATTTAGCCAGTACATCCGATTTGAATATTTATACCAGAATGTAATCTTAAAGCTTGGTCTGATGAGAATTAGAAACTAATATTATCTCAGTAATGATGAATAATTCTGAAAAAATATATTATAAATATGGAACAATGTGGAAGATAAGATGGAACCCTAAAGCAGAAATATCATGGTTTGAGAATAGTCTCCCAGCACCACCTTCTGGAACATGCATATGATAAAAGAACAGAGTATCCTATTGACAGTGATTCAGATATTCTGGCAGTTGAGTACTATTTGCTTCTCCAGAATGTTTTAATCAAGCATACATTTTTACATTGAATTGAAAAAAAAAGTCACATTCTAAGCCCAAAGTCTCTCGGGCTATGATGGAATATTTTCAAATAAGTAAGAATTGCATTACAACTTTTATCACATAGAGATTTATGTTCATTATCAGTACTAAATGTCAAATTTAGTACATCATCAGTACTAAATTCCAAGATACTAAATGTATCTTGGAATCTAAGATACAAAATGCTGTCAAAATCTTAATTAAAACTCTGTTACTGTTATGGCTGCTGCTAAGACACAGATGGGTTCATGGTTCATAGGAATTTATTTTAATTAGTATAAAATTTCAGTGAATAATAAAGTATAATTAGGATATCAATTAGAAGTCCTTAATGTGAATTCATTGTGGAAAATCTATTATTTTTATTGTTGGATTTTAGTCTAAAGCGAGGTCTTAACTAGACATTATGTGAAAATGCAAATTAAAATCTGTCTTCTACTATTGTACATTTATTTAGGGACTGCTATATACATTTTAGATTATAATTTTTAAATTTAGTCACATTAGCAAATTTATAACATTCATTAAGAGTTTTTTAAAAATTCAGTTTGGTAATAGCTTTTTACCTTTTGCTGTCCTGCTGACTGCACCTTCAGTATTGGGAAACATAATTAGTAAAGGATAATTCCCAAATACTACTGTGATTTGAGAATAAGTTTCTCCTATTAAAGTATGTGGTCATAATTTTGTTGACATTTCATTTAATTTATAGAACAGCAGACTCTGGACTTCTTAAACTAAAGTATGAAGTTTAAGTCCTTCTTTGCAGTTTCTGTGATTCACACATCTGCTCCATGTATCTTCATGTGAAAGTTTCTAGAGTTCAGATTTTGCAGGAATCTTCTCCAATTTAGGATGCACACCCAAAGGATGCTGTTCCCTTTTTGATCATCCAGTGAGAGAACCTAAGAATTTTGGTGCTTTGTTTTTGCTGGCCTTTGTTTTCTTCTATTATTGTTTGTATTGGTTCTTTAACTTTGGCATTTTTCTTTTAGCTCTAGCACAGTGAATATTTTGCAAATATATTATGTTTACCTGGCACTCTTGTACTAAATCACTTGATTTTTCAGGTGTTGCATAGAAAGCACTTTTGAAACTGTAGTAATAATCTGTTGGATAGTGGGAAGAAAAATAAGCTCTCTTGAATTAATGCCAAGTCTTGATTGCTAAAAACAAGGTATTTTTATTTATTAAATAAAATGCCCCCTACTGACCACCAGCTGCACCCATCTAAGTGTTTGGAGAAGATACTGAAATCTTCTGCAGTCCCTTCTGTTTACTCAAAAAATGATTGTACTTTGGCCGGTAATTTTCATATGAAGGAAATCTGTAGTTGCCTAGAGGCCTATAGTGAGCTCCAATACTGTGAAAATAGTTGTCTGTTCCTTTAAATTTTCATAAAATAGGACTTAGGGTGAATTACATAAATATACACAACAACACTTCGTTGTATCATAGCATTAGTTTGGAATTACATTCTGCAAGATTGATATCAGAATGTAAATTCATTGGTATACAGTAACGCCAAGATTTTAACCAGTAGACTGTAGTACAGAAATTTCCTTTTTCAAAAGAATAGAGCAAGTACAGTGAATTGTTCTGTACAATTGCAGTTTGAGCCAAACCAATATGTATTCCATTTAAACACAAGTGATTATCATAATTTCTAAAACTTCATCTGTACAAATGTCATGTCAGATTCCATTATGCTTTTCTCATCTCACAATGCATTCAGTTACTTTTGTTTTCAACTAACTGTTTTGATGATACTCTTATTTCTCATAATGTAAAACATTCATAGCATGGTAGCTTTACCTAAATTAAACTCCCCCAACCATTGTTTGATGATAAACTTGTTTAGAGTAAGATTACCAGTCGAAGTGCATTATGCTTCGTATAGCAGTTTTATAAGTAATTTCTTTTCTTCGGTTTGATTTGTAAGATTGTCATAGTATTCTATGAGCAGAATTAATTTAAATATACAGAACTAGCAGGGATTTAGCTGTAGTTTTGCAGTGTAACGTTAACTGGATTTAATTACATGTGACCAACTATACAGGAAACCAAGGCGGCTTCCGCTAAACTAGGGAATCATTTGGCTTTAGGATGAATATTAGCTTTGTATGGATGTATGAAATCTATGTGAGTTGGTATTAATGAGTTATTGTATTGATGCTTTACAAAGATTATTGGCTCAGTCTTAATTACTGTCCTATAAGGCAAGTTAGTATTATCCTTATGTTACAGAGGATAGTAGAGCCCAGACTGCAGAAACTAAGAGTTTGTGAATTGATATGGTGAGATTTATAGTAGGGGTTTCCTGTCATTCTGCTCCATCATTTCTCCTCCCCCCCCCCACCTGCCCCGGCATTATTTAACCTTTTGTAGTTTATAATGCTAACACAATTCTGGTAACTGTGATCTGACAAAGCAGTTATGACAGCAGTTCATCTTTGTATCCCTTTGTTATGCAAAGAACATTATGCTGTGTGTATTATTTTATGGTGCTGAAACACTTTTTAATGTTTTGTAGCAAATATTGTTAGGGTTTAGGACAAGCAGTTGTTGTAGATATATTGAAATGTCATGCTAGAGAGAATAAATTTGATCTTTAGAGAGAATTTGTTCCTTGAACAGATATTGGTTAGAATGCGAAACTTTTTGTAAAAGCTATACACATTTTTTATTGACACTAAAATTATAACAGGAACAAAACATCTATAATAGTAATACGAAGTAAAAGTCAGTGCCTGGTTTTGACTGGGAATATTTCTACCTCTCAGATAAAAAACTGGTGGGAATTTGAATTGTGGAAACTATTTGCAGTTTTAGAAATTTAACAAGAATGCATTGTAATACATAAGTGAAGTAATTTAATTTTCCTTTATTC